TTTAGCTCTATAAATTTACTTTTTTCCGGCAACACGCAAGGTGTTTACCTTCAAAACTAGATGCCGGATGTACTACAAAATTGTAAAACGATAGAAACGATAAATCCCATGCATATATCACAAATCATTGGACTTCTATTATTGATTACTAATTGATTTTCTATTTCACATCTCTCAATAATTCTAACACCATAATTGGTCCTTTTTTTTTTTACAAAAAAGTTAGATACGCAATACATAGTGGGTTGGAAAATGAGCATAGTATTTGATAGGTAAGGACACATACAGTAATATAGATGCAAACACTACAACCAGTTTTCGGCTAATTCTGAGTTGACAATAGTCGTAATATTTGTTAAACGTAATACTTGCCTTAAGAAATGACACAACTAAAAATTTTAATTTAGAATACTGTGCAAGTGGTGCAATTTGCCATTAGCCACGTTTATGACATGTCTAGGTGTAGTATATAGGTATACATCTAATTTTTCGTGCCCAAACCTGTGGCATGCAGAATTTTAGTGTTATTACGTAGTGAAAATGTAATTCATTTTAATTCTATAGCTATAATGATTAGCTAATATACTAAAGTCTAAGGTGTGAAAAATCTCTAGTAAAAATATTAGCTACTGCCCTTGGTGTAATGCCTTTTTTATATATCATTATGCCAAAAACAATTCACTGAAATTATTCGCAACTTCAAATTTGGGATACAGTCAAATCTCTCTAAATGAATAATATTCACGATGATCCCAGGTGCTGTGACACTGGGAAGAAAAAAAAATCAAGTGCACACCCTTAGGATTTGAGGTAAGTTGGCATTTAAAGGTTTCATCTGGAACAGCGACCTATCTAGAGTAACATCTGGCTAAAATTATTATTTAAACCTATCTTGAGTAACGTTTGGCTAAAATTATTATTTTAATGCATGAAGCAGGGACTTAATTTTAACCTGACAGGTTGCTACTCCTGATGCAACAGATACACATACATATATGTCGGGTCTCGAAACGTTCAGAGAATAGAGTTGTGTACTGTGGACAGGATCAGGAGTCAAATACAATTTCAGGCGAGACAAATCTGAAGTATCTAGGAAGAGTATGTTTGAGTATGCATTTATAGAAAATGAACTTAGGGAGGTTTGATATTTGAAAAATTTGGCGTTGCAATAATCTATTAAAGGAGAAGGTCTATAAAAGGACAAAAGTATGCCATCGAACCAACAGAGATTGTACTCATATAAGATTCATCTGGGTAACCTGCAGAATATCTATCCTTTTGAAGGCGATTGATTAATCTTAAACATTTTACAATTAAGTTTAGCCCAATTAAAGTCGGCAAAATAATTCTGAACTCAAAATAAATTGACTAAATAGATGATTGCGGGTTGCGAGTGTGACCCCTGCATGTAAAATCATAGCGATAGCGATTTTCTGATTCAAAGAATTTTGCAGATTACAAAATAAATATAGATATTACTGATTGAAGATATGATTGATAGACCACATTTTCGCGAAATAACGGGCATGCGCGTTATTTCGAATAATGACCCGAAATAAAATTTTAAAATTAGTATCCCGAAATAAAATTTTAAAATTAGTATATACCGATATCGATTTATATTTTTTTGCATTTACCGTAAAAATCGGACGCGAATACCCTAGATATTTCCATAATTCAATTTTGTACTCGGATGCTTCTGTATGGGCATTGAGACTATCGATAACTGACGAAACTATTTTGCAGTTGACGAATTGACGAAACTACATGGTTTCGTTAGGTCACGTGAGGTTAGTGAGAGGGGATTGACAAATTTATTAAAGTTAATTTTTTTTATATAATTTAATTTAGAATAAGATCAAGATCATTTTTCACTTAAGACACAAAAGTAGTTGTATTAATAAAATTTTGTAGTGTAGCTCTTTAAAATTTGTAATTTCTTATGATTTATTATAAAATTTATAACATAAAAATTGATTTTCCAAAGATCTTTTTTTTGTTGATTTCCCTCTTTTCTATAGCACTCAGCCCATATAATACTTATGTACCTGGGTATGAATCACTGCCTAGCTCTTAAAACTGGTAGGGGATGCATACTATGGGGTATTCATGTTCGGATTTTAGTGTTGGATGAAAAATCTTTGATAAATGATTCTCGATTTACCTTGTGTAATGCAAGTTATCTCTGGATTGAATTTCTTAATCAATCGGGTAGAACTCGATGATTAACGTTAGTTGGACGGTATATCGTTATTACTACGCTAATATATTATAAATATGATCGGAAGCCCTTAAAATGCAAATACTTTTATTAATAAGACCATTGAGACTTCCATACACTCCAGATCTTTATTTGATCCTTCAAAGCATAAAATTTCGGTTAAGAACTTCATTATGTGATATTTAAAATAAACTTTGCTTAATTTGAATAGTTACAAGTTCTTTAGCAGTAAAGACGCAGGCTTAATGTTTAAATTTGGTCTGCTCTTTTAGTATAGTTTGGGATTATTAAGCGTAAAATTTTTAGATTATATTATATATTGTAGATTCTTTAATGAGTTCGGGTTTTTTAGTAATAAATATTAAATTTGCCACACTTTACGTGTCCCTATCTATTTTCTAAATATATGTGATTAATTCTTTTGCGTGTATTTATTAGTTGGCAAATTTCTTTATAGATTTTTTTGTACAGCAAAAAACATCCAATATTTAAACTCAAGTCCAAATAACTTTTAAAAAAATTTGTCTTACAGACTTGTTGCTTTTAGACTGAGCTACAATTCTGTAAGAATAGATTTTTATTTATTTTATTAGATTTAAAAGTTATTACAGCTTGAAGTTAATTTTTAATCGACCAATTTTTTAAAAATTATGTAATTTGATTGGTTAATAATCACGTGAAATCACGGGTCGATCGACAAAAATTAACCAATCAGACGAATTTCGTCCTATGAAATGAGGATGCTTATTGCACTTCGTGCCGGACTAGCATGGAGGACATTCGTAACAGAGACACGGAAAAATCCCGTTTTGATTTACAAAAATTCATTTTGATTTGGTCAAAAATTCCGGTTTATACTGATATAAAAAATTTATTATACTAAGTGCCCGAAGGGATTCCTCACTTGTTCTACACTACACGATGAAATTGGTAACCAAACATACTTCATAGCTATTGCATTTAAAGTGGTAATTGATATGAAATGATTCAAAATTTATCTAAACTATTAGTAAATTCAATTTCGCCAAATTATCGCTGTTTTCAAAGTGATTGAAAATGGCAAATAATTTTTTTTTTTTAGCGTACACTCGTACACTCATACACTCGATTACCTTATCACGTTGATTGAAGATCGATGTGTATTTCAACCATTTCTAAAATAGCGATAATATTACAATAAATTGCCTATTCTTATAAAAGCTCTGTAGATGGGAGATGGGTTAGAAATCCTACAATACACTTATATGAAGTAAAGTTATGACTAGGGCTGTTAATCGGTCTGACTAAAGCCGCTGGTCCTGCGGTCCGTCTTAGGACCAGGCCAGTCTGGTCTTTTTTAGGACCAAAAAACTATTGGTCCTAATATAGTTAGCATTAAGTTATTGTAACGAACATATATAGCCTAATTTTTTGTGATTTGGTTAGGATTATAGATTATGAACACCATTATAAAATATACAGTATATACGAGATTAATTTTTAGAGGCTTAGACAGCGATAATAAATTTAAATTTATTATCCCTTAAACCGTCTAGTGGCCAAATTTGACTGTTTAAATTTTTTTTGATCTATTTTTTTCGTTTACTCTAAATTTTGTTAAGCTTCACCCCCCCTATTTTCTAAATTAAAATAAAAGAGTAACACATGTTGGTTGCTACATAATTCTCATTTTACGAAATTTCTTTAATGATAATTTATTTTTTAGTGTGGATCGTAATAGGACTTTGATGTCCAAATTTCATACTAAAAAAGGAACCCGCAAGTCATTGAACGTAAAATACGGTCAACATTTCGAAAGATTTTGGCAAAAAGGACATGAGCGGAACATAAAGGATATTGGAGAACTCTGTAAATTGCCCGTCATTACACCAGGATACTTTTTTTAAAAAAAAATTTTTTTGTATATTGATCAATACACAAAATATGGACATGGTCACTATTTGGATTAGTCCATGCTCACATAGGTTCATGTCTAAATAAAATTTTTATTGGACATAGTCCACACTGTCCTGAAATATATCGATTATGAAACTATCTTTCATGAAAGTAAACTATCACATACTCTAACCCTAAACCTACTTTACTCGAGCATAATCGAGGCTCACTTTTTTTTTTTTTTTGTTATGTGTAAAACTAGAAATTCTCATTTTTTTTATTAAATTTTGAATATTGCTATTTACTGCCGGCGGTTATATCACTGGAGGTACTACGTATATCTCAAAAACCTACTATATAGCTAGCTCACGTCAGGAGTGCTAAGTAAAAATATTCGGGACCCAAAAAAACCTAACCCTAACTAGAATTTGAACCCTTATATCTAACCCTAATCTTGGTCTAAAATTGTACTCTAACCTAAATTTGATAAAAACAATAACACCACCGGTGGTAAATGGGCGATGTCAAAGTACCTTTATTGGAAGTTAAAAATAATAAATTAGAATTAAAATTGATTTAAATAACCTAATTATGTGGTTAAGTGCTTCTTAAAAATATGAGGAGGCTTAATACTTTTAAGTAGTACTGTGGTTCCGTAAAATGAAATTGAAATTTAGTAATTGCAAATTTCCTCTGGCGTCACCCAAATAATAATAAAACGTCTGGTCTGGCATGTTACTACGTATTATATATAATTACTTCCGATATGCATCTTTATTTTGCTGATCTATAAGTACACACTTTATCTGTTATGTTACAGATATTTAGCCAAGTATGATTTACAGATATATAATATATATTTATTACATAATATTATTACATATCATAAGAACAAAACGTTGTGTTATTGATCGGAGATTTTTTTTGATGATAGAGTAGTAGTATATTGCGAAATTTGATTACTAATGCCAGAAATATTAATCGATGCAGTAGCTGCAGTAATATTTTTAATATCGAGAATAAATTCAGATTTTTCACTTTTCACTTCCTCATCATTGACTTTGCTTATCGATGGAGTAAATGGAAACATTATAATACTGCCATATTACGCCTTCATCCTAATAGTACTGTGGGAAGATTGATTATTGAAGCTGCAATGAACAACGAAATAGATTTTCATCCAATGTCTATTAGATCATATCTCACAAACAACAAGTCAGAAGAATCTATAACAAGAGAAGATTTGAACAAACATCTCTACATGGTGCCTGTAATTTTGTTTGATCCTTTATGGTTGAAAGCCGATTTACATTATCGAAAAATTCCATTAAAAACCAAATTTATATCGTTGGAATGATGCATTTAATTCAAAACTTTTGGACAATGAATTTCCAGGAATTAAGTACAATAATAATTTGACCGATCCATTAAAATTGAGACATAAGAATAACTTTTTTAGAGGTGCTTTCTCTTACCATTGGCATAATCAGTGGAATAAGAAAATTAGTCCCAAGTCTTGGTTAGGTGTAATGCTAAGTGCTTATGATGCATTTCTAGAAGGCAGAGATTCTAATCTATATGGCGAATATTTACGAAATTAATTAGTTTAATTTATTTATGATATAAAATATTAACTTTATTGTATGATATAAAATATTAACTTTATTGTATGATATAATGTAAAATGTCACGTATAATTAAAGTTGTAGATCGTAGCTTTTTAAAAAATTTAATTAGGTTGGTTTGAGGTTAGGCTCTGTAGTGAATTTTGATTAATGCCCCAACAAATAAGTTTAAACCAGGAAA